GATGGTACAGTACGCCTGCTAGCCATCCCCATCTCTTGCCTGCCTGGCAGAAGATGGTGCAATACGACTGCTAGCAATCCTCATCTCTTGCCTGCCTGGCAGAAGATGGTACAGTACGACTGCTAGCAGTCCGTATCGCCTGCCTGCTCACCATAAGACGGTTCAATAGGACTGACTGCAGGACTAAAGAGAATGACCTGGTCAAGTCACTCCAAATTTAGTCCCTGCGCCCATGTCTGCCCAGGCGCTCCCAGCCGACGCGGCCAGGAGCACCTCGGACACGATGAGGACGACTACCAGTCGTATTGCACCGTCTGCTGCCAGAAGGCAAGGGGTTGCTGCTACTGTGCAGCAAAGCCGTACCGCGTCTGCCAGCACCCAGGAGACATAGGGTGACGGTTACCTGAGCGGGCTCCATGCTTGCCATGGTATGGCGTCTGCACAGGTAACTCAGGAAAAAGGCGCGAAATGATTGTCTGCCCTTGCTTTCACGGGGGGAGGGAGGGAACGGGAGGCTGACGATATGTACCCAGAACCACCCGCGACAATGTTTTAGCCCCATCAGGCATTGGGATCTCAACCCAGAATTCCAATGGGCAGCGGAGACTGCGGGAACTGTGGGATAGCTACCCACAGTGCAACGCTCCGGAAGTCGACGCTTGCCTCGGTACTGTGGAAGCGCTCCGCCGAGTTAATGCACTTAATGCACTTAGAGCATTTACTGTGGGGACACACACACTCGAATTTATAAAACCGATTTCTAAAAAACCGACTTCTATAAATTCGACCTTATTCCGTAGTGTAGACATACCCTTAGACCTGCTGTGGGACACTGTTTCTGTGGAAGAGACGGCCCACCTTGCACAAGCAGTGAGGCTCCCCCACTGAGAGCTCAACTGAAATCACTGATAGTTGGGTGGACCCTCAAGAGACCAACTCGCAGAGGTCACAGTGGCAGGTGGCAGCAGAAGGTGATGGTGCAGGGCCATTGGCAACAGAGCGATGGAGTGAACGGTGGCACAACGAACAACAGTGGCCAGAGCGAACAGTGAGCAGCTGGAGGAATGAGCAAGGTACCTTCTTGCCCCCCACCTGGGAGGTAAACTCATGTGAAAGCACCTCTGAACTCTGAGTCTCCACTAACCTAGGACAACACCGGTGAGTGGGGTGCAGTGGAGGGAAAAGTGAGGGGTACGTTAAATAAATATTTGTTTGTTGGACTATATTTTAGTGACTTTGCTCCAGAATGCTAGATTTGTGACTGGGAATGGAAACTTATATAAATATGTTTCCTAGTAGGCCTGATGTTTGTCAGTCAAAGTGTTCCCATTTATTGAAGTTACAAAAGATGGCTACTGGTGCACCCTTGCAAAAAAGCTGATGAAGAAAGAAAGCTTTCCAATGCTATAATTGGTAAAAGTGGAGGAGCTTGGTTTGTCAGACTGATCAGCAAAGCCAATGCTGACAGGAATATACATTCCATCCAGCACAGCTTATTTTACCAGCCATTAAACAAAAGGAAATCTAACGCATTTTCTAGCTAGATTACTTACTAACTTAACAGGAGTTGGAAGGCTGCATTCCTGATCTGTTCCTGGCAAAAGGAACACACAGACAGATAGAACCCTTTGTTCCTCCCCGCTCCAGATTTGAAAGTATCTTGTCCCTTCATTGGTCATTTTGGGTCAGGTGCCAGCGAGGTTACCTTAGCTTCTTAACCCTTTATGTGAAAAGGCTGCAAAACACCATGCCTCTGGACTGCATCAACATGCAGAAAGCCTTATAACCCCACTTTCAAAGCCAATTTTAGAAGTACTTAATGAGGCTGTTAAGAATGCTGGAGACACAACACAGTTCATGAGAACAAACATGGCTGTGGCATCATACTTTCTATTTAAGCAAGAGATACCACACACTACAAACTGGAGGCCAATGTTAAGTGCATTGTCACTGGTTCATCCTGAAGTTGAACACTGGTTCCGAACAAGACCATCAAATGCTCACTATCTTTCTGCAAGAAACTGAACTGATGGCTAGAAGCATGCGGTGCAACAGTGAAAGACTCAACAGTTGAAAAAGTGAAGAATTCTTTTACCAAGTTCCAAAAATTTGCATACATCATAAATATAAAGGGAAGGGTAACCACCTTTCTGTATACAGTGCTATAAAATTCCTCCTGACCAGAGGCAAAACACTTTCACCTGTAAAGGGTTAAGAAGCTAAGGTAACCTCGTTGGCACCTGACCCAAAATGACCAATGAGGGGACAAGATACTTTCAAATCTGGAGCATGGAGGAACAAAGGGTTCTGTCTGTCTGTGTGTTGCTTTTGCCGGGAACAGATCAGGAATGCAGCCTTCCAACTCCTGTTAAGTTAGTAAGTAATCTAGCTAGAAAATGCGTTAGATTTCCTTTTGTTTAATGGCTGGTAAAATAAGCTGTGCTGGATGGAACGTATATTCCTGTTTTTGTGTCTTTTTGTAACTTAAGGTTTTGGCTAGAGGGATTCTCTATGGTTTGAATCTGATTGTCTTGTAAGGTCTTTACCATCCTGATTTTACAGAGGTGATTTTTACCTTTTCTTTAATTAAAATTCTTCTTTTAAGAACCTGATTGCTTTTTCATTGTTCTTAAGATCAAAGGGTTTGGGTCTGTGTTCACTTGTACAAATTGGTGAGGATTATTATCAAGCCTTCCCCAGGAAAGGGGGTGTAGGGCATGGGGGGATATTTTTGGGGAAGACGTCTCCAAGTGGTCTCTTTCCCTGTTCTTTATTTAAAATGCTTGGTGGTAGCAGCATACTGTCCAAGGACAAAACAAAGCTTGTACCTTGGGGAAGCTTTTAACCTAAGCTGGTAAGAATAAGCTTAGGGGGTCTTTCATGCAGGTCCCCGCATCAGTACCCTAAAGTTCAGGGTGTGGAAGGAACCCTGACAGCATACATGGCTGATGAATGCACCAATGCAAATGGGCATCAAGTATTAAGTCATTGTGTATGTTATCTTGATGTCAGTGGTAGGCCACTAGATGCATTTCTAGATGTTCAAGTTATAGAAGACACATTGGCTGCACCTGTGACAACCCACATCTTAGAAGAGTTAAATGCTTGTCCATTGGATCCCAAACAGATGGCTGCTTATGCATTTGATGGAGCTGCAAACTTCTCTGGAAGACATGGTGGAGCACAAGCTTTGCTCAGAGAAAAGTGTAACCCTAATTTCTCCTATACACACTGCAGAGGCCATCTACTCCAACTAGCACTAGTACGAGCTGCATACTCTTCAAAAAGTTTCAGAGTAACAGCTGTGTTAATCTGTATTCGCAAAAAGAAAAGGAGGACTTGTGGCACCTTAGAGACTAACCAATTTATTTGAGCATAAGCTTTCGTGAGCTACATCCAATGAACTGAGCTGTAGCTCACGAAAGCTTATGCTCAAATAAATTGGTTAGTCTCTAAGGTGCCACAAGTACTACACTTCAAAAGACATTTAAAAAGCTATAAATTTAATGTCTTCAGTATATTCTTTTTTCAGCAAGAGTCCAAAAAGACTGAATATCTTGGAAAATATAGAAGTTACACTGGGACTAAAGTTCAAATTAGTCCAACCTGGGAAAACCCTCTGGCTTTCTCATGAGTGATCCTTGGCTGTTGTCTTAAAATTACTCCAGCCATTATTACCGGCTTTGGAAAGTATCTACCAAGATGGGATGGATCTAAGTAGTGAGGCTGAGGGATTACTTTTGCTACTACATTCAGAGAAGATCATTGCCATTCTCTCTCTCTCTTATAAGTCTACCACTTGAACCACTTGGGTCATTAAACAATGCATCCAGGCATCTGCTACAACAGTAGTAGAACTTTGTCCAGAAATAGAAGCTATATTTGGATCAATCAGAGAGCTAGCCCTTGAAAAAGTGCTGGAAGAAGCAAAGACTTCAGTCCAGAAGTTGACTAATGAAGGCATTTATATTGAATCCTTAAGTGAAGCGGACAAGAAGTGTTTGTCAAGACAACTGAAAAAGTACACAGACTTGATTGTTACAAATCTACAAGAGTGATTTCTAGATTCTACTCAACCTCTACGTAGCTTTTACAGATCCCTGTCCTATAAAACACCGACAGCTGAGTGGAATGAGGCACTACCAGCAATGGGGCTGCCATGCTCAGGACAGAACAGAGAATTTGAACACAGAGTGGAATATCATACGATGAATGAATGAAGATTTGACTTCAACTTATTTTTTATCATCATTAGTGGCTCGACCCGATCTTTGTGCTATGTTTCCTGGGCTGAAAGAAGTAGGAATTCATCTCTTGCTACTCTCAGTCACAACAGTTGAGCGTTCTTGTTCATCATCGAATAGAATTTTGTGTTCTGAAAGAAGTTGCCTCCTGCCTGATCATATGAATAAACTAATAAGAATATCAGTTGAAGGAATGAAAGTACCAGACACACGAGAAGCCACCAAAGATGAACGCATTGCATTCAAGAAGTTTATTAACAGAGTTGTGCAAAATTATAACAAGAAACCAAGAAGGATGTAGATCTAGTGCTTCCTAGAAGGCTTGAGTAGCCAACTTTAATTTGTGTGATGATTTTAAAACATGAGTTAAATCTAATAAAATGGTCATGAAACATTTTTTCAGTTTTTACTATGGTGCCATACAGCCCATAGTCTCACCCCTCATTGGCCCTGACCCCGCTCCCTTGTAAATTCAAACACCCACCCCTAATTTCAATTCCTGGGGAAAACACTGTGACTGAACCAAACTGTAAACCTTGTATGTAATGGAAACCACTTCAAGCCAAGAGGTGTAGCAGCACCCCCAGCACCTAGGCCTATGCATGCCCACAACAGGAAGCTGGGCAATCATACAAAGCGGCACGCTGGGCCCCGCACACATGGGGGCCGGGGTGTGGGGGGGCATATGTGTGTGCACGCGCACACACAGAGGGGAGCAGGCACGCGCGCAATCACACGTTTGCGGAGGGGGCGGGGCTAGGGCTCGTGGACTGGTCCAGTCCCGCTCCTCCCGTTGCCATGGCAGCCTGGCTACGGAAGCGCTCTGCGGCGCTTCCCTCCAGGTCCGCAGGGCGCCGCTCGGAGCCGGGCCGCGGGGAGCGGCTCCCTCCGTGCTGCTGAAGATGGCGGACGGCGGGGAAGCCGCGGGGCAGCCGGAAGAGGCGGCGGTTGACGGGCCGCGGCGGGACAAAGGGCCCCGGGCTACTGCCCGGCCACCCACGGCCCGGGACTTACAGGTACGGAAGGGCCGGGGCGGTACCCGGGAAGGACGAACAAGAGCCCGGAGGCTGCCCCGGGCTGCTGGGCGGGGGAGGCGGGGCTGGGCAAGGCCAGTCTCTGCGGTGGGAGGCGCGCGGAGGGCGCTGCCCGGCGGGCTGTATCTCCCGGCGGAGCGGGGCACGGGGAGCTGAGCGCTGGCGCGGGGCTGCTGCCTTCCCTTTCCATGCACACACCTGGCACCCTGCCCCTGGGCCCTCCGCCGCCGTGCTCCTCCCCACGGGGCCGTAACGTGCCATAGGGCGTGGGGTGATCCGCCAGGCGGCTTTGTGTCACACCCCTTCTCTCACGAGACCCACATTTTTCAGGACTTAATAGCCCGGCCCGATGAGGCTGCCCGCTCTTGTTTGCAGGGCCAGAATAAAGCTGCTTAATGCAAAAACCTTCTTGTTGCACCGATGAGCCTGGCTTTCAAACACCGGAGCAATGGGGAGGTGCCCCAGCCTGGAGAGAGTTTGGCTCCCATTTCTAGCTTCCTGCAAAGAAAGGATATAAAATCTTCTCAGCTGTAACCATTTCTTTTTCAGCATTCATTTTCCCCACCAACTTTAAAACTATGAAAGGCTTCCAAATAAAATTCTTCAAAACCATGTCTATGCTTGACCATGCTTGCAGCGGCATGAAGAGTATGTGTAGCCAGGGGTCCTGGTGCTGCGGGTGTACTAGCAACCCCTGGCTTGAAGTGGTTTCCATCATATACAGGGTATACCGTTTTGTTCAATGGCTTTCAGCACCCCCACAATAAAAATAGTTCCAATGCCACTGCATGTAGCTACATGCCACAATGAAGGGCAGGTGATGTCCACACTCGCTGTGGAAATGAAAGTCTCCAGCAGAGATCTACTGGTATGTAAAGAGCTTGGGCATGTAAAGAGCTGTGTAGGGTATATACTTTAACATTCAGGCATGTAGGGCCTTCTGCTCTACTCAACCTGCCTCATTGTCTATACTACTATTTTATACCCTTGCTGATTGGGCGTGCTGTGTCTACTCTACACAATACACAAGTGTGGACCTACCCTTAGCTATTACTTAACTAAAAGAAACATGAAACTCTAGGCAGTGTTACTGTTTTTGTTTACATTACACACAAGGCCAGTACTTTGCTGACCGGTCCTTACCATTTTTCCTTTCTATTTACTAATATTAGGTTTGCACGTTAATTATTGTTGATAAAGCCTATGAGTCTATTGAGAATAACATTTTTAACTGAAGCATACAGTAGTTACATTCATCTTCAGGTTTCCAACTGTTGAAGATCGGACTTGTAGTTAAGCAGGCTTTTTGAGTAGATGGTCTTTCATGGTGTTAAATGTAGGCTTTTTGAGTAGATGGTCTTTCATGGTGTTAAATGTATCTGAAATAAAAGTTCCCTTTTTAACTAGCACAAATCTGTAGAATGCATATTAAGTTTGAGACACTGGATGTCTTTTAAAAGTTCTATTGCAGTCTAACTACTCTGTACAATTTTCTTAATAGCCTCAATTCTTCAACTAGTTTACTTTCCTGGATAACAAGCATCTCATGACAACACTTATTACAGTATTAAATACTGTGATTCTAAAACAGTTTGTCTTGCAGAGGGCTCTCCTTATTTGAATGTTTGTTGTTTTGTAAGCCAAACCATAGTAGAATTACAGCCCTGCAGCACCATGTGGTGAAATGTTAATATCACTCCAGGGAACAGCAGAATCAAATTTTAGAACTCTGGTTTTGAGACAAAAAATTTAATGTTTTTTAAAATTTTTGTCTCAGAACCAAAGTACAACATTGTTAAAGACAATAGAAATCCAGCTACTAAAAATGTCGTATTTGGTATACCTTCGCATACTGTTTTTAAAGCTGAATCTGCCAGAGAAATGGCAGCATCTAGGACTATCCTTGGGAAAAGCCATTCTAATACAGATTATTACGCTTGGGTGTAAGCCTTTAAACACTTGCTGAAGTCAGTGTTAACACATGCTAAGGTGCTTTGCTAAATTGGGATCTTAATAGTAGTACATTCTGTCCTGGTTATAAACCTGTTATGTAGAAACTGAAAAATATAAATCAAAAGCTATTACTGTTGTGTTCTCTAACAACCTTATTGAAAGTAATGTGGCTTATTGCTTCACATGAACATAGAATATCTTTGTCTTAACCTTTTACAAGCAATGTGAGTGCTTTCTATGTATTCTGAACAGATGCTTCTGTATAAAAGTCTAGTCATTCTGTGCTAATGTAGCCTTATTACATATTTAATGAGGTAATTCAGACTTGTGTTTATTTTAATATGTAAATAAATACAAGTGTGTTTATTTCAGAGTACAAGTATCCAGACAAATATTTATGAGTATCTGAATAATGTCACTCTGTGTTTCTAAATCAATAAGGAACCTGGGCTTCTAAAACAATGAATACAATGTTTATTCTCTTGTTCTTTGTATAGTTTATATCTCTAGTCTTATCGATTTTCTAAAAAGTCTGGTATTGTATGTAGTTGGCTTTGGCTGGGTTATATGAAGATGAAGTTAAAAGCAAGTTATCCCATTCTGACAGACCACCAGCTACAGTGGTCGGTAACCCAAGACTACCTGTTCAGAGGTAAGAAGTGATTTGTACATTAGGATTTGTAATTTATTTGACATCTGTAATATCTGTTTCAGTTTACTAACCCTGCTTTTGTCACAACATTCAGAAATTTGAGCTCAAAGAAGTATTATATTCCAATGCTCATTTAAAAAACTGTAACAACACAGAAGAGTAAAATGGGTGTCCCTATAATACTATGCCCACTCTGCTTCCTTAGGAAGTGTTTGTAGCATATATTTATTTATTGACTAGTCTTCATTCTGCAGCTGTTCCCAACCACTATATGTTTCTGTTAGATGCTGGAAAAAGACTCAAAGTTAAATGCAGAAGTAGTTATGCTGTCGCACAGATTTGGACATATGACCTGTTTTCTTTTTTAAGGGGAACAACTGTTAGGAGCAGGAGCAATTCACATGGAGGACTATGCATAGGTGCCTCTTTTGGGTCAGGAAACCACAGTGCTTATGTCAACATGAGGACTATGATCCGTGACCATTAAGCCCTATCCAAAATTATCCCTCAGCAGCATCTACCATAGGAGATTTGGCAAATATCCTCTAAGATTCTTCATGGGAACAAAGAACTTGGGTGGACAACCTCTGTGTGGTAGAGAAATTGAATATATTTCTCTGTTTTTCTGGCATGTTTAGGTGCATGCAGCCAACAAGAATTTGCTTTAAGTACTTAGGGTACACATAACAGAATATATGGAGACTCATTATAGCACTCTCAAATAATCTTCTAAAAAATCTTGCCAAGTTTAAATTAATCAAGTACAAAACAACTGAACAGTAAGATGTGTTTTGTTTTGTTTTTAAAATGATCTATATGTGGCAAGTGACTGGGACATGATGAACCAAACACAAGGCTTTTGTGGCTTTCCAAAAAGACCCCATACACACAGATGTGTCAATGTGAATCTCATTTTTTAAAAAATGGGTGTATACCAGTGGACATCTCCACGACTGGACAACCTCCAATCCATTTGTGCACATGGATCTCTGGAAAGATGAAATTCACCCCAGGGTCGGATACTTGGGGGACAATAATAATTGTTTCTGGTTGAGATCGCCAATATAGGATGGTTAACCATCTATGGATATCACTATTAAAAATCTGCTTGCCAATACATACCACAAAGTTGTTATACTTACTTCCTGTTTCAAGTAGGGAATAGGTTGGTACTGTATCTTGAATACTTCAGAATGGTATATGTTGGCAAACTCTGGCTCTCTATTGGCAATCATATACCATGACTCAGATGAATCATTTTTGGAAAGAAAAGATGCCCCCTTAACTACACAATGTTAAATAATTCCTAATTTGGATAGATTGTAGTCTACATCAATTGTCAATGTACCACTGAAGTCAGTGGAGCTAGGACAGTTTGCACCAGTGGTGGACCTATCCCATGGATGTGAAGCTAGTGCAGTGGTTCTGATTCCCTATTACAAAGTATCTTTTAAATTCATTCTAAATGTTTACTGTAAACTTTTGCAATGTTGGCTTTAAGAATATTTTTGAATTCATATAATAAACAGTAAGGATTGGGGAAACTACTGCTTGTAAGCTCTTTGGGACCAGTGACTGTCTTTTTGGTCTGTGTACAGCACCTATCACAATGGGGTCCGGGTCCATGACTGGGGCACCTAGCACTTTGGTAATACAAATAAATAATAGTAATGCTGGTTGGTCCGATTGCAGGTTCAAGTACAGTAACTCCTCACTTAAACTTGTCCCGGTAAACGTTGTTACGTTGCTGATCAATTAGGGAACATGCTCGTTTAAAGTTGCACAATGCTCCCTTATAATGTTGTTTGGCAGCCGCCTGCTTTGTCCACCGCTTGCAGGAAGAGCAGCTCGTTGCAGCTAGCTGGTGGGGGCTTGGAACCAGGGTGGACCAGCAGCCCTCATATCAGCTCCCCGCTCCCCTAAGTTCCCTGTGCAGCAGCCGCCCAGCAGGCTACCAATTGCTGGCAGTTCAGCTGTCCTGCCTTCCCCCCCCCCACACACACCCCACCCCCCGCCATGTGCTGCTCCTGCCCTCTGCCTTGTAGCTGTTCCCGGGAGCCTCCTGATTGCTGTGTATGGGAGGGGGGAAGAGGGGGACTAATGTCAGGGTGTCCCCCTCCCCCTCTACTCCTGTGTCCCGTCCCCCCCCGCTTACCCCTTCTCTATATGGGGACAGGGCTCAGGACGCTGGCTGCAGCTGCTGTCTCAACTTCCTGATCTTTGAGGCAATGTACTTAGAATGGTGTCAGCATACTTAAAGGGGCAATGCGTATCTCTCTCTCTCTCTCTCCCCCCCCACACACAGGGTGTGTGTCTCTGTCTGCCATGCTGTCTCCCCTCCCTCCATTCATGTTGCCTTGTACAGTGTGAGGCTACATGAACAAAAATGTGTTAACCCTTGAGGGCTCAGCCGAATGCTAGTTCATCATTTAGCAGTAAGACATTCCCTGGGAAATATCCCACCCTCTTCCACCCTCTAACTTCACGACTTCAGCCAAGCTTCACAATCATCATTGCTGTGTACAGTATTAAATTGTTTGTTTTAAAACTTATTTTGTGTGTGTGTGTGTTTTTATATATATTTTTATTTATTTATTTATATATAGTTTTTTGCTTGGTGAAAAAAATTTCCCTGGAACCTAACCCCCCCAATTACATTAATTCTTATGGGAAAATTGGATTTGCTTAACATCGTTTTGCTTAAAGTCACATTTTTCAGGAACATAACTACAACGTTAAGCGAGGAGATACTGTACTACAAAACCAGTTTTTAAATATAATTGAAGGTTAAGGGCCAGATTCTGCAACCCTTATTCACACTGAATATTACCTATTGATGTCAGTGAGGCCACTTTTGAAGTAAATTGTCATTCAGCATGCATAAGGGTATTGCTGTATGGTCCTAAATGAGCTGCCCTCCATTCTTTCCTTGCTACATCGCAAATATTTGGAACTATTTACTGTGGTCAATAGAACATATGCTGTTACAGTGTGTCAACGATTTAGAATTATTTTATAAAATGCTTAAACAGTGAGCCTGAATGGCTGTTGGAACCCATCAGGTCAGAACTTTTGAGAGAACTTATTTTTGCTCTCTCTCTTAGTTTTTTGTATACTTAAAAAAAAAAACTGTTTTACATAGGACAGTCATAAAGTGTGAAGCGCTTGTCACCATGGATATATGATGCAGTGTATATATCAGTAATCATCAAATGATTTTTTTTTAAATATTTGTTGGCAGTCTAAAAATTGACTCCTTCAGAAGCTTGAGAAAACCAGAAAGAAGCATGAGTGATGACAAAGAAAACCAAAGGTACTGTAAAAACAGAAGCTTATTTATCTATAACAATTATGAATATATTAATTTAGTTTTTATTTTTTTCATTCATACATTTTTTTTTCCTTTCTTCTTTCTTCATAATGGTGTTGATCTTAGTCTTTCCTCTAAGTCAGTGGTTCTCAACTCTGGTCCATGGCTTGTTCAGGGAAAGCCCCTGCGCGCCGGGCCGGTTTGTTTTCCTGCCGCGTCTGCAGGTTTGGCCAATCATGGCTCCCACTGGCTGCGGTTCGCCGCTTCAGACCAATGGGGGTTGCGGGAAGTGGCGCGGGCCAAGGGATGTGCTGGCCACCCTTCCTGCAGCCCCCATTGGCCTGGAGCAGCGAACCGCAGCCAGTGGGAGCTGCAATTGGCTGAACCTGCGGACGTAGCAGGTAAACAAACTGGCCCAGCCCGCCAGGGGCTTTCCTTGAACAAGCGGCAGATCAGAGCTGAGAACCACTGCTCTAAGTGGTAACATAAGGGCTGTTGTGTGACTCATTAGAGGGAAATGGCAACACAAGGTATGGAGGATAGCCTTTCCTATTTAAAATAAAATGCTTTGTCCAACATTCAACCTATAATCTGAATCTTTCTGAACTGTAGGCTTCCATTCTTAATCTCTTTGGTTTTACATGTAATATTTGTTATAACCTCCCTCCCCCCTGGCAAAGTATTGCTCTTGATAATCCATAATGTCCAGGCCAAATTTAGGAAAATAAATTTTAGAATTAAATCAAATTTATATGTTACATATTTTGTAAATAATTATATATTTCTTAGATTTTATTTCTGGAACTGAAATGAATATGATGTAGAGGTATTAAAATGTGCTAGTAGCTCTTCCAAATATGCTTATTTTTTACATCTGCATTACTGTTCATTATGTTTGGTAAGCCACTCGAGCACCTTTTATTTAATAGTTTCGTTTTTGGTTCATAGTCAGATTTACACAGGTGCATATTGAGTAATTTTCCTCTAGAATAATCTAACTCTGTCCATTACTCAAAAAATCTTTTCTAATGAATCTTTTCCCCGCTTTTCCTTGCAACTCTTCTCTGTGTTTGTGTTCCTGTTTCACAGCTTAACTTTGTTCCTTTGTTACCTTCAGTTGTGTGAATCTTGTATTTAATATTAAAGGTAACACTTAATCCTTAAACTGCCAGCAATAAGTTATTAACTTGTTAGAACAATCACCTCCAGCTCCGCTTCATCACATCACCCTTAGTTTATAGACATCAGTGTTGAGATAGCAGAATCAGTTTTATTCTAGTAAGCAGCCGCAGATTGACTTGTTTTATCCTGAATCAACTCACCTTGCCTCCTATACTTAAATAGTATGCCCAAAGAGAATAGGAAGCATTCAGCATTTTATTATCTGTTTAAAATCAAATCAAACAGACATTAAAGATGCTACAGCTTGACAGTATGTCATATCTATCTGTCTAAATTTGGATAGCATCCATCACCATGGTGTCTAAGCACATATTAGCCCCAAGCACTTCTAGTCTTTTAATCTTACTATCCGGCATGTATATAACTTCTGATTATAGATAATAAAACTACTAAATAATACACTCCTATGAAATGGATCTCCTGCAATGGCTAGAAATTAGTCTATTTTGAAAATAAACTAGATGTTTACTACTGTTTCTTTTATTCAGTGGTTTTCTCTGAAGTTACTGCAGACTCTAAAGTGCCTCAGAATATAAATTAATTGTTGTTAAAAAAGAACTAATATTGTTAGAAATGTGACCATAATTGACCATTAAGCCTAAAATCTGACTTTGGTGCTATTTTTAGTTGTTCCCCCAAACAGTTGTATGTTAATTCTACAAAGGCAATGTTAATTGTGCATCCTTATTTTGATCAGACCAGCCATAGTCTCATGCACAGAACCTCCCAGTGGAGATTATTCTTTCCAGGAGCTGGTGGAATCCACACAAGATAAGGCATGTAAAGCCACAGCTATGTCAGGACTGTGTTCGCTATAAAATATGACCATGGTTCCTAACCTCTGGGAACCTCTATACCTTTGGAGGTCCAATACTGTAACAGTTCTTTGAGCAGTGCTTCTTTGTGTATTGCAAAAGCCAGAACTGGATGAATGCTTCTGTGATCAAAGTGAAGAGGTCTTGTGCCAGAATTTGGCTCCATTTGTTTACTGAGCTTTTTTATTGAAAAATGGGTGTCCATCAATTACTTCAAAAGGATTGTCACTGATGTACATTATTGTTTAAAGATTTTACTCAGGTGACTCAGAATATAGCGGACTACAGATTGTTGGGCCTTCTGATAATAAGAATCCCAGTAAAATTGTTGATGAACTTTTCAAAGAGGCGAAAGAACATGGGGCAGTTCCACTGGATGAAGCCGCAAGAGCCTCAGGTGATTTTAGTAAAGCTAAAGTAAGTATAAAAAAGATGGTTTGGTGAAAACCAAATGAATTATAGTTATTTTTGCCTAAATGGCTTATTGTCTCGTGAATTATATTACTAATGCTTGCAAATGTTCAATTTCCAATCTTAACATTTCATAGTACACTGACTGCTTTGCATGGTTATAATTTCTAACTACCTAATTTGCTAATTAGAAGGCATATCAATTAGAACATTATGTGTTTGTGTTAACTAAAAAAGCAGGCTTGTTCACATTTTAATTTATATGCTTGCACCCCATTAAATATTTTTGTAATTTGTTTCATGTATCTATTCTGACTGTTTAATTTTTTTAATTAACTTTCTTTTTAAATATTTTATCAGTCATTTTCAGGTGGTGGATACAGATTGGGTGACTCATCACGGAAGCGCTCTGAATATATATATGGAGAAAATCAGAATGGGCAAGATGTACGTAAAATGTTGAATAGCAGAAAATAGGGCTACACATTCTGACCCCTGGTTGGCAATGTTTGAAGCCCAAGTTTTCAAGATAATGTTTTTATATAACAATAGTTTTGTTTATAATGAATAGCTATAGAGCCATGTAATGTACATTTTAAGAATAATTTCTTAAAGCCAAAGGGTCTACATGGACAAAAATACATAGATTATGAAGTACATAAGCTCTGCAGGTAGAGGAAAGAGGTGTTTGGCAAAGAAGTTGGCTGACTGGGTCCAGTGTTGTGAAAAGAAAGGGTTGTATTTCTGTGAGTGCTCTGTGACTCTAATCTGAGTTGCAAAGTGCTCCTTTGGAATTAAAAGCTTAATTTTGTGAGGAGTTGCCTACAATATTTAAAAGCTCTGTAGAAATTAGTTGTATTGATTCAGCCCTATTAAGCATCTCACAACAATTCATAACTTGTAATTTTGTGTGTTGTCTATATTCCCTGTGAGGTAGAAAACTGAGTGTCATTGATAGTAAGCTACTGGAATACTCCCTAGCTAAATAAGATCCTTCTAAAGTTGATATTGTGTAGAAAGAAAATAAATATTATATTTGACTAATTTTAAGTCCTATTTAGGGTGAAGAGAAAACAACCAGAATGGTTCTACTTTGTAGAAGAGGCTTCAATCTCTTCCTGCTTCATAGTGTTCTGTGTTGTTGTATCTCAGTGATTTCTGTGTCAGTTTATAGTTAGAAAGAGGTGTCTTTTCCTGTCAGCCTTTCATATTATTTGCACAGTGAGAGTCAAACAGGGTTCTTTCCATACCATGCATCATCACCAATAATAAATGTTCCAACATCCAAATTGGGCCTTCAGCTACACCTGTGAAAGTGCTGGGATCAGTATGACAAATTGAATAGAATAGAAGAGTTGTTTCCTGATTGCCATTGTTTTCATCAGACTTGGATAGGTGTGACTGATAGGAGCTTAATAAACAACTTGGTTGATGCACAAGATGGAAAAAACATCAGCAGTAATTGAATCTTAGCTGAGCTTGGTCGGCAGTGCTAACAGGAGTAAAGAAGAGTCAAACTTACTTTAGCCACCAACGAGAGCAGACATGACCCTGAATATACACAGGGAATAGAATTGTGAACTAAGATGATGCCATTTTATATAGTCACTTTTCAGAGTAAAACTACACTATAATATCATCAGTAAAACTAAATTAACACTAAAGCATCTTTCTCTCTCTGGTGCCTTTCAGGGTCCTGTGCTAGGTCATCTCCTCTTTGTCCTTTGTGCTCAAGATAGCTCCACTTGATTTCAGCTAACACCTCTATGGAAATAATTTTACAAATCTAATTCTCTTTCTCTAATCTTCATCCCTCTGTTCACCTCTTCAACTATGTTTGATATACTTATGTGAATGTCCTCCTGCTATCTCAAGCTCATTTTCTCCAACCTTGAACTTTTCTCCTAAAATTTCTTCATTTTCTTTTCTTCTCTAACACCATTTTCCACTCCCCTACTCTCCCATATTTGCAACCTTGGTGTTATCTTTGACTTCTGCTCTTTCCCCACCATAACTAGTGCTAAGTTCTGTCACTTCTTCCTCTCTAAGGGCTTGTCTACATAGAAACTTAGTGTGCGGCAAACCAGTGTGTGAATGAACAGCACACTAGCCTGTTGCACACTAAATCCTTGTGTGGATCATGCTACTGCATACTAACAGTTCTGTAGTGTGCTTTGACATACTGCTGTTTGAAACAGGTTGTAAGAAACAGCAGTAAATCAAAGCACACTACAGAACTTTTAGTGCAAAGTAGCAGGGTCCACATGGCCTGCTACTGTGCAGTAGGCTAGTGGGCTCTACAGTCACACCCTGGATTTCTGCACAAGTCCTGTGTTTGCAAGCCCTAAAAAACCAAAATTCAGCTATAGCTACTGTTAAAACCCTTGTCTATGCTTTTGTCATATTTCCTCTTCCTTCTTGCAACCACTTCCTCTGTGGTCTTTGGAATTCTCACCTCTACCTCCCTCCAAACTTTCCAAAATACCATTGCTAAAGTGATCTTTATCTGTGTCTACTCTGCCCTTATAATTGTCCCCTTCAGCCCTTTTGCTGGATTCTTTTCTTACTGCATCAGGTTTTTCATCCTTGCCTTTAAGGTTCTGCATAATTTTGCCCTATCCTTATCTCTACTCTTCTTTCTTCCTATGCTCCTGCATGCTCCTTTTCTGTGCTATAATCATCTGATTCTGCTGCTCCCTCATTCTCCTTTTTCTTACTCTATACCTCATTTTTTATGCTTTTCCTAAACTTGTGAGCGCTCTCTTGCTGCTTCTTGTAAATCCAGACTTCCACATATTTCTTCTGTTTACCCTGAATTGTTCTTACCAACTTTCCCTGGCAGTAAGTCACACTCTCACCCAGACATTTTCCTGAATTTTTTCCTCGTCTGTTTTAGAATGCAAGCTCTTCTGAGCAGATATGTCTTCTTTTATGTTTTATAAAACATTGCATAATTGTTTAGTGTTGTATAAATGCTTAAGTAATCGCATCTTGATTACTGAAACATCCTTTCTCTGGCCTTGACAAATGCAGTCTTGCCCTGCTTATTTCCACTAAGAATGCTTCTGCAAAGATCATTTTCCTAGCTCGTTACTTTGACCATGTAACCTTTCTCTTTGTATCACTTCACTGGCTCCCTTCTTCTCTGTTGTGTCAAATATAAGCTACTTGTCTGCACTTTCAAGGCCTTTCATGATTATCTGCCTCCCTACCTGTCATCTCTCATTCAATATTGAAAAGTTGACTCCTACCTCCAATAAGCCCATGATGCTAGCTTCCATCACCCACTTGTTAAATTGGCAGACAAGTACCTTCATGCTTTCTCTTATGCTACCCATTGTGCCTTGGAGAAGCTCCCTGTAAAACAAAACAAACTCATTATCCTATTTTGAATCCCTCTAAATTTCTCCTTTGCCCTGAAGCCTACAGAAAATATGGCAATCGTTATGTTGCTGGGTATGCTGAGAATACATACATACCTATCATGTTAACCAATATGTCTCATTGTTTCCTTGTACTCCCCGGTCAGTCTGTCTGTACCCATCTGTTGTCTCTTATCTTATACTTAGATTGTAAGGTCTTGGGGGCAGGCAGGGTGTGTATTTTTGTTCTGTGTTTGTACAGTGCCTATCACAGAGGGTCCTAGTCCATGAATTGGGGCTCCTAGGTGTTACAATAAAAATAACAATGATAAAACCAGTTATCAGAATTACTAATTCTAACTCTCCCTTTATTCCACAAGTGATTAGAATAGTAGTAGTAGTCTGCAAGTTTATGGGTGCTAGATCAATTTTAAACAAAAACAGTATTCACCATTTTGAAAGCAGTTGCATCACCTGTTAAGCCTAGTACACTATTGTTGGCATATATTTTCTGTGTACCTTGTATTTTATCTATTAGCTATGTCACTGTTAAAAGTCAAGGCTTATTGTGAGGTTCAAGGGTGCCAATCTGTCTGAGGTCTCAGTACCATTGAATTTGTAATTTCAACTGTAGCAACAGTGCCAATGTTACTAGAAGTCTATATCACTTTTGGGGGGGAATCTAAAAATGACAGTCCAAAATCTCTCTACAAAAACTAACACAGTATTTTTATTTCTTTTGCCTTCTGTCTTATGTTTCTATGTTTTGCTCCAAAATGTGTGTGTGTTTTAGATTCAGTACTCTGTTTGCCAATATGTACAAAGCTAACAAAAAAGATCAGCAGATAATTGCTTAGAAATTTTTTCATTTAGTTTTTTATTATACTTTCTTTGCTCAATAGGTTCAAATTTTGCTTAAACTGTGGAGGAATGGTTTCAGTTTAGATGATGGAGAGTTGAGATCTTACACAGACCCAACAAATGCTCAGTTTCTTGAGTCTGTTAAAAGAGGGTAAGTTATAATGGTGGTTACTTTGCTGACTATATCAAAGCAATCGGTTGGAGAGAAGGGAAATAGTAATAAAACAGTGATGAATATTAAAGTATATGACCTTTTTGCAGTGTAAAGCAACCGAGTACTGAAACATTAAATAATCGTTGTACCAGAAACAAGATTAGGCTGATTAATGTTACTGCAGAGATACAGACAGTGTATATTGTCATAGGGACCTCTTTGCAATAGATCAAAAGGCATTTATGCCTCCTGCAATTTTATAAGGATTGATGTTGTACACTTTCTTAATTTCCTCCTATCTTGAAAACTTTTTTTGCGATGGGAGAAGGACTGCGGTATGGGACTATTCCATAGACTGTCTATTTATTATGCTATAGCTGCACTGAGGACACCTCTGAAGCCTAGATGTTAGCTAGCATTATCTGCATATACACACACACGTGCGCGCGCGCCCTCTGACGCAACAAGGGGCCTACACACATTGCCACTCCACGCAATGTATTTCTGCGAATATGCTCAAACAGAAATAATCTCCATAGGGGGTATGCTTTTAGTTCCTGCTGGGCAGTAGTAGACTCAGAAGTGCCAACTGTGATTCAAAATAATTCACGGTTTATTCACTGCAACAAATGCCTCCTTCTGTTTGAATATTCATATTATGCTGGGCTGAGCAAAACAGGTGTAGTTATTCCTTAACATGAATAATGTTTTAATTAGGGCTGTCAAGCGATTAATTTTTTTTTAGATGTGCGATTTAATTGCACTGTTAAACAATAATAGAATACAATTTTTATTTAAATATTTTAGATGTTTTCTACATTTTCAAATATATTGATTTCAATTACAACACAGAATACAAGTGTACAGAGCTCACTTTATATTTATTTTCGATTACAAGTATTTGCACTATAAAAATACCAAAAGAAATAGTATTTTTCAATTTACCTAATACAAGTACTGTAGTGCAATCTCTTTGTTGTGAAAGTGCAACTTACAAATATAGATTTTTTTTTTGTTACATAACTGCACTCATAAATAAAACAATGTAACACTTCAGAGCCTACACGTCCACTCAGTCCTACTTCTTGGTCAGCCAATCGCTAAGACAAACAAGTTTGTTTACATTTACAGGAGATAATGCTGGCCACTTCTTGTTTACAATGTCACCTGAAAGTGATAATAGGCCTTTTCATGGCACAGTTGTAGCCGTCACAAGATATTTATGTGCCAGATGTGCTAAAGATTCATATGTCCCTTCATGCTTCAACCACCATTGCAGGGGACATGTGTCCATGCAGACATGGGCTCTGCTCAATAAGAATCCAAAGCAGTGCGGACTGATGCATGTTCATTTTCATTATATGAGTCAGATGCCACAAGCAGAAGGTTGATTTTCTTTTTGGTGGTTCAGATTTTGTAGTTTCCGCATCAGAGAGTTGGATAAGGTGAATTGAAAAATACTATTTCTTTTGTTTATCATTTTTACAGTGCAAATATTTGTAATAAAAATAATATACACTTAGAAAAACATCCAAAATATTTAATAAATTTCAATTGGTATTCTATTGTTTAACAGTGAGATTAAAACTGCCATTAATCATGATTAATTTTTTTTAGTTAATCGTGTGAGTTAACTGAGATTAATCAACAGCCCTAGTTTTAATACCTGTGAAGTGTCCACTAGGTATGTGAAAAGCATGATTTGCTATCTTAGGCAATCTTAGCAAAAGTATTTTCTTAACAGTATAGAAGGAAAAGTGTTGATATAAGTTTTTAAACAGCTGAGCTCTACCGAAGTGGTGGATGCATTTTGGCGGTATATAAAATAAATAAATAATGTATGAAGACTTGCAAAGGACTGATTCTTTGAATTGAATGGCACTATGCAAAAGTAAAATATAGTATTGCTAATATTTACTCAACACGCTTAGTTTTTTTTATGTGTGGTTACAAGTTTTATTGTGAGGAGGAATATTGAAGTTATAAGTTATAAAATGAAATACATTTTGAACACTTGAAATTACTCCAGTGACTGCAAGTCCAGTTTTCAAAATCCATGTTATACCTCTTATTGTATATGTATATATTAGATTTCATCCCTCTTCCCTCCACCCTTTACATATTGATTGTTTGAGATTGTAAGATCTTGAGGGTAGGGTTGTGTCTTTGTATTTGTACAGCACCTCGCACAGTGGGGCAATGTTACTAATTGAGGGCCCTGGGTGCTACTGCAATATAATAATCAGTTGATTATTTCTCAAGGCCTTTTTCCTCCCCTCAATTGGAGTAAGATCCCTGTTAAGGACTGTGATTGACAGGCAAAAAAAATGTATTCCATTAGAGCCAGGGTAGGGAACCTCTAGCCCACTACTTAATTTAATCCAGCTCACAGCAAGTCTCTGTGCTGTGGGCCAGAAGCCCTGAGCCTCTGCGCCCTCCCCTCCCACCCCCCATTCTCCCCTCAGCTCCCAGGCGGAGGGGCAATCAGGGAAGCTGCGCATGATGCCCCCAGCACCGGCTCCACAGCTCCCATTGGCCGGTAACCACGGCCAGTGGAAGCTGCGGGCCCGGTGATGCAGGCATGGGCAGCATGCACTGTGCAGAGCTCCCTGGTTGCCCCTCCACCTAGGGGCTGCACATGCCAGCCGCTTCCGGAAGCAGTGCGGGGCCAGGGCAAACAGGTAGCCTGCCTTAGCCCCACTGCGCAGCCAACCAAAGTTGCCGCAGGTAAGCACCACCTGGCCGGAGCCCGCACCCTGAGCCCCCTGCCACACCTTAACTCCCTCCCAGACCCCGCACCCCAACCCCCAGGTCTCAGCCCCCTCCCACACCCAAACTTCTTCCCAGAGCCTGCACCCCAACCCCCACCCCAGTTTTTGAAACCCTCCTGCACCCTAATTCCCTCTCAGACCCCCACCTGCACCCCCAATTCCCTTCCCGTGCCCTGAGCCTGCTCCTGCACCCCAAACTCCTCATCCCCAGCCCTACCCCAGAGCCTGCATTACCAGCCGGAACCCTCACCCCATCCCGTACCCCAACCGCCTGTCCCAGCCCGGAGCCCACTGCTGCACCCTGAACCCCTCATTTCTAGTTCCACCCAGGGGTCTAGGGTAAGCCCCCAGCTGGCTCCCGCTACTGTGGGGGAAGCCCTGAGCTTCCACGCCGCCCCCTCCCCCCCCCCCGCTTGTGGGGCTCTGTGTGGCCCGTGACTGATTTTTTCTGTGGGTCAGTGGCCCCTGATAGAAAAAGTTTCCCCACGCCTGCATTAGAGATTACTTGAGAAAACTTTAAAAATGTTTGATTAGTGAAAAATTATAATATAAATTTAAAGTTACAGCAACTATTTTTAGACATTTCTAATTCTGTTCCTCTGGATTATTTTTTAAATTCTCAACCAAAATATTAAAAATATCTAAGTATGGGCAATATTCCATCTCACTTTTTTTTTAAACACAGAACTCCCCAGTAACTTCATCTGCTTGAACATCATTTGCAAAATGTAGCTATTACAATGAATGAGTGTACAATTTTATCAGTGCACCCTAGATTTCAACTTGTGACTTAATAATGAACTACATTAATTATACATTCCATTAGTCTTTATTTTTAACTCTAGCTTCTAGAAGAAGTAGGCGCAATTGGATTCCTCTGCATTTTGATACAGATAGGGCAGTAGTTTCCACTCTTTATTAAAATATTGTTTAGGCTCTTGTAGGATCCATACTGAAATGTTTTACTGTACTGTAATTGGGAATTTCTATTGTGTACTTTAAGGAGACAGCTAAAATGGTTTATTTTTGCATTTAAGAGAGATTCCTTTGGAACTTCAACGGTTGGTGCATGGTGGCCAAGTTAACTTGGATATGGAAGACCACCAAGAACAGGAATATGTAAAGCCTAGATTGAAATTCAAAGCTTTCAGTGGAGAAGGACAAAAGCTTGGAAGGTAAAAAAAAAATGTAAACAAATTAATGTTCTCTTCTGTCATGTGCATGTGTAATTTGCAATTAAAGAGAAGAGTAGGACTCAGGATGACCGCAAAAGATGCATTTTATTTTTGTAATGTTTTCAAACACTGATTTTAATTGAGTTATAGGAGACTTCTGGAGAAGGTAACTCAGTGCACTTTCCACTTACGGCAGTTAATACCAGAAGTGTTTACTGATCAATCTTGTTCAAAGAATGTAGTGAATGAAAACAAATACTTTATTAATCCAAAATATCACAAGTCAAATATGTCAAAACTTAGAAGTTAGAAGACCAGTTAAGGTTGCCTTTGCAATGTAATTCTGTCCCATTGTGTGCATGCCTTATTTTACAGTCTTCAAGGCTGCAGAGAGGGTTTTGGGGGTCCAGTTCAAAATCTGAAATTGATGTCCCCATCCAAATAAAAAAAAATTACCATGGAATGAAAGTTTAGGAAGAGGGAAAAGGATACAGGGGGAGGGGGTCAGCGAGGCCCCAGGCCTGTGTGTTTGCTGCCTTCCCCACAGGAATGGGGATGCTCTTCTCTGCATGTAGCCAGGTCTTGCCTCTCCCTGAACTCTAGCCCTGTCACTAGCGGGAACAGTATCCCTGACCTTACTCCTTCTTCTGGGCTGTCAGCGTGGCAGGTTGCCTCAAGCCTGGCATAAAGATGCCAATAACCTTGACTATGGGTTCTGGGCCTGGATGAGATGGGCAATTCGCTCCCTGCATTATTGATGGCAGGCATCAACCTGAGCAGCATTGCAACACCTCTTCACTCAAATTTGGCTCAGCCGCCCCTCTGTCATTTTGTGGGCCCTCTGAAACAGGGGCCCTGGGGCAAACTGCCCCTTCCCCGCCCCCCCATCTCTGGGCAGCCCTGCTTAATTACATGATCACATACTGTGTGGGGGTTTTTTGTATAAATTGGTCAAATTTAGGGGGTTTTTGTGGGAACAGCAGAAGCTGCACCCTTGAAATCAGGGTGATACCCCTGCCGAATTTAAAGTCCCTGTTTCAAAGAATGGAGTTGCCAAAGTTGTAAGATTTTTTTTTAACACTGGGAAAACAATGTATTTTACCCTTATCTTTATTCTCAGATGTGGCTCAACCATTTTTGCTAAAATTTTACAAAAAATTCAGCCTGAAATGGACACCCAGAATGGAACATTTCAGCCTGAATGCTTAACATTTGGCCAAGTTATAGGCAACTAAAAACAGGGTCTTATAATAGATAGGGTGACTATATTTCCCAAAGGGAAAACAGGACACCGCATGGGGCTTGCCTGAGCCCTGCTGCCCAGGGCTGGGGTTGAAGCCTAAGGCCCTCTCTCTCCCCATCTCCCATGTGGGGCTTGCCCGAGCCTTTCCCCACAAGAGCAGGGCTGACAGACCTAGCCCCGCCACCCAGGGCTGGGGCTGAAGCCTGAGCCCCGCTGCCCAGGGTTGACGTAGCAAGCCTTCCACCACCACTCCACACCACTACCATCCCACACCCATACCACCCCCGGTGTGGGGCTCACCCAAGCCTTGCCCCCAGCACAGGATTGAAAACCCTAGCCCCACCACTCAGGGCTAGGGCTGACAGCCCAAGGTCTGACATCGTCACACCCCTCCCCCGCCACGTTCCTCTGCTTTGGCAAAACTGTGCATTTGACCCATTAGCTTTTGTGACAAATGCACACTTTTGCGAAAAATGTCAGGACATCCTGGACAGGGCTTAAAAAGGGGACTGTCCCACCAAAACAGGATGTATGGTCATCCTAATAATGAAACATTTTTGGGCAACTTTAACGAAGGGTGGTGCTACCAGTTCTGCTTATAATCATCGGAAAAAAATGTATGCAGGATGTTAAGATTATTCTATTCAAATTTAAACTTGCTGCTTTATTACTGTTTCTAGAGAATCATGAAGTGGAATTTGACATTCATAGTGGAATGTCATTCCAATCTGCCAGATCAGTTTACCTAGACACTTGATAAATTAATATATACAAAGACCTGTCCTTCCTTTATTAAGGAAAAGTAGCTGATTAAAAGTAATGGATTGATTGCCAACCAGATTGAAGCCCTTATTTTACTGTTTAAATGGGTAGAATGCCGAGAGCTGTAGTATAGGATTCCTCATGCAACCTTGCCAATATGCCTCAACCCTGATCTGGAAGGACCACTCTTTATACGTAGTCCTTCACACTTAAGTCTTGATCGTTGCTAATTCCTTGCTGTCTCACGTGAGACTGCCAAAAACTTTGCCTACTTTGTTGGAGATTTTAAAGAAGGCACCAGTTCAACAGGAATTTGACTGAGACCACTAATTTATTCAACCCTATAGCCGTCAGTACTTGGTCTGTATTTAATCCAATGACGTTCAGTATAAATAGCAAACTGTATATTCCATTACTAATTCCCTGAACAATCCAACCCCCATCCTTCTCTGTCATTTTCTGCTTTTAGCCATAAACATTTTCATAGTCTGATACTTGACCAAGTTCTTGATAGGATTTCTGTATGGCAGCAATTAAAGTATCTATTGGCTGAAATGCCAGTGGCAGAAATATTGTGATATAGTATATGAACTGGTGACACCTTTGAATATAAGACTCCCAGCTACACAATTGACAGGTCCGGTATCCTTAAACAGAAGAGATATTAATTTGAGAATCCCGCTTGATTTATTTTACACAAAATGAATATGAACAATAAATTGCATGATGTTAAAACCTGAATTCCAATGAAATCCTGGTGAGAGCTTCAAAGGCTGCCACAAAAAGCTGAAGTACATAGATAATAGTCATTGAAACATAAGCAATAATGTTAAAGAATGTGACACCTGCCTTTGAATTGCTTAATCTGGTATCTGGGGGCAAGAATATGTGGATGATAAAATTCTAAACAGTTACATAATAGTGCAACTGCAAAATATGTTCTAGTGACTGAGCATCTGAGATGTGACAGTCAGCTTGCATCCCTAATCAGTCTTGAGATATTATACCTTTTTAGACAAGGCTTTAAAAAACTATTCAAGGTAACTCAGCAAGAAGAAGCAGAAAAAAATATATGTGTAACATTCTGTCCTCAAGCTTTTATGTAACACAGAATCATAGGCTCCAGAGCAATCTTATAGACTAACTCAATAATGCCTAGCAGTTGAATAGTAAACATCTCAACTGCTTGATGCTCACCACGTTATATAATGTGTACTAATTTTGTCAGCAAGGCAGTTCTGATACCTTTTTGGAAATAGCTTACAATATACACTCGTTCATAAGCCAAATATTTTTGGTAAAAAAGGACGCATCAAAGAGCAGCGGTCGGCTTATAAACGGGTCTACACCAAAATGTGGTGATTTTAAACTCTATGAAATCATTGAATTGACTATCTAATACATTGTCCTTTTGTTTACCTGGAGAGCCTGTGGGCATGGCGCCCCCTCAGTTCCCTGTGGCCGCAGTTCGCCATTCCCAGACAATGGGAGGTGCGGGAAGTGGCACGCAGTTGACTGTAATTTTGAAAGTGATTGTAATTTTGAAAGTGAAGACATATTTGTTCAGTTATTGTTCAGTCAGGGTAAGCTGCTGGTGGTCAGGACCTTTTGTTCACTTGGGGCGTCTGCAAGCACAGAGCCCCTCAGCTCCCAGTGGCCGTGGTTTCCCGTTCCCAGCCAATGGGAGCTGCGGGAAGTGGCGCTACTTCCCACAGCTCCCATTGGCTGGGAACGGCAAACCACGGCCACTGGGAGTGAGGGGCTCTGTGCCTGCAGACGCCCCAAGTGAACAAAAGGTCCCGACCTAACGGGCCGGGAGCCAAAGTTTGCCAGCCCCTGAAATATAGGGTCGGCTTATGAAAGGGTCATGCAGTTTTTACTATTTTTATATATCCATTTGGCGGGTGGTCGGCTTATAAACAAGTATATATGGTAATTAATTTTTAACTATGTTAAAATAAATATATAACACATCTAAGATCACATAAGCAGATTTGTTTGAATACAACAGGCAATAGCTACATGTTGTTGTTGCTTCAAAACTCCTGTTCAGATTTTCACTCTCCAAGTCTTCCTTCTTTGCACTTAACTGACATATTCAAATGAATTTGCTGAAAAAGCTTTCATTTGCAGGTAAGGTGTGTGGGGTGTAAGTGTCAAAAGTTGGTTCCATTAATTGCATGGGTTTTTGATTTGGAGCTTTCAGTGTAAGCCAGTGATGGGCAACCTGCGACCTGGGGGTTGTTTTATAATCATCTGTCCATATATATAAAATTATGCAACTGTATTAGCCTTTCCTCTTTCGTAGTGATGTGCATTAAATTAGGGATGTAAAATGTTTACTAGTTAACCTGTAAGCATTAGTCTTACTGGTTAACCCACCTTAACCGTTAACCCCACACCAGCCCACCCGCCGGCCCCAGCCACAAGGGCAGGAGCACCCCTAGCCGCACCAGTCTGGTCCTTTAATCGGTTAACCATTTAAGTGAAAAAATTTTAATCGTTTAAACGATTAACTTTTTAAACAATATTTATATCCCTGTGTGAAATAGTTCTGTATATAAAAAAATATGTACAAGAAACCTCATGTATGGAGAAAATGTTCTTGTGTAACTAAGTGCATGTTTATAAAATCTTATCCATGTATTAATGCAGACAGCTTTGACACTGTTTTCAATACCCAGGTCAATTAGCATACAGTGCATGATACTGGTTTCAGATAGAAAAAAAAGATAAGAAATGTTCTAAAATACATCTTTTCAGTTGTGGTTTAATTCTTTCAGTAACACCTATATTTCAATCCTTTAGCCTCACACCTGAAATTGTCAGTACACCTTCTTCCCCAGAAGAAGAGGAAAAATCCATTCTTAATGCAACTGTTCTGATTGATGACTCCATTGCAACAACTAAAATTCAGATTAGGCTAGCGGATGGAAGCCGTTTGATACAAAGGTTCAATCAAACACACAGGTAAACTAATGCCACAGAGATACAAGTAACCACACTTCTTTCAGTAAGATGAAAAAAGAACTAAAATAGCAGCTGGCATATAAAAAGGCAAGAATGATGGTAACAAAGGTAAAGTGTATAAGCAGTTTATTAATTATGAATGTTTGCGGTAGAGGAACGCTAGATGTAGAATTACACTTTTGGAGGTGATCAGATTCAGGCATTTGGTAACTGTAAAATTAATATAACTTTCATCATCCATACTCATATCATTCTGGCTGTTAGTTTGGATATAGCCTTGAGAATTACTTCCGTTTGACTGCTTGATGTGTGGTGTTATGCAATTACTTATCCATTCTAAGAGTGCATTTGTGCAGAGTTTGGCAAAGTTATACTGTTGTCACATTTCCTGCTCTACATGTATGTGAGAACTGTGGTGGGCAGAGTGAGACAGTTTCGGCTGTGGTACAATCAGTGAGCAGAGGGACTTGCAATGCTAAGTCTCTTTATTTTAGCAGACATGAATAATACAACCTTCCTTCTTTCCCAGTATTTGGTTGAGAGCAAGGTGGCTGAGGCTTAGTCCAATTAAAATAAAGGTGATGCTGATAGATTGGGAATAGAACTGTGCAGGAAACAGATTTCCTGTCCTGTTAAAATTTTTGAGATTTCAAAAACACTCCCATTCTGCATATGGACAAAACAGTGACATTTTATGTAGTTGCAAAGAGCCGAAGAGAGACACACTCCAGAACAGTCAATGCATGGTGCATAGGGCACGCACCTGGGATGTGGGAGGCTACGTTCAGGTCCCTGGTCTGAATCAGTCAGAGCAAGACTCATACCTAGATCTCCCACGTCCAGTTGAATGCCCTAACCAATGGGCTATTCTGGTGGTGGTGGAGGAGGAAGGTGTCTCTCTCATTTAGACAAGAAATTCCATCCTCAACCCAGGAAACCTTTCCTGGCAAAAGTTTTTTGTTTAAACTGGCATGTTCCTGCAAAAAGTTTTGGCAAATCAGTATTTTGTGACAAACCACTGCATTGAATATTCCTGACCAGCTCAAGCGGGGAAACTGATACAAGGTGTGACCCAGGATACTGCTTTTCCCCATTATTGAGGGAGTATTTCCAGTCTTGAAGGAACTTTGCCATCCAGGAGGGGAAGGAGGATTCTGGACTCCAACCTGCTCCTAGGTTCCCAGATAGCATCAATAGCCAGAAGCACTTGTTTCCATGTATTTTGTTAGGCAATAGTGACCCTTTTCTCACATAGTTGTCGTAGTTATCCAAGCACTGATAATGTCAATATAGAATACACTTCACAGCCCAGTGTACGGTAGACGATCAGTAAGGAACTACAGCTACTGCAGGATGCTGCTGTCTGCTTGCTTAATTATTGGTTAAAGAGGACATTTTACACTAACTCTTCAAAGATTGCACAGGCTTATTATTTTTTTCTGGAACAATTTTGCAGCATTAAATTTGTTCTCGAGCCCTATATAATTTGCATCTTGGCTGTCTTAAGATGACTTCTTGTTCTGTGTGTTGACACTACTTATGATGTCATCTGAAGTACTTTTGCTGACAGTTTTTAGATTGTGGGTGGTTGATAGGGTATTCAGCAGAAAACTTTTTGGTTTTGGAACACATTCCTGTCCCCAACCACCATTTTTCTGTCAGAGCTAGTCTGCTGACTTTCAGGGTACATCAAGGGTGTAGACATGGATCTGGTGTAGACATGGATCGTAGCTCACTCAGGCCCACCAGAATCAGAGTCTGTGTGAATGCCAAGTTTAAGTGAATTTATTAATGGGCTTTATTTTGGAACCATGCAACGTGAAGGTGGGAGCTCAGGTATTAGACATTGCCCTTCCATCAGAATTTGGGGCCCACCCAAATTTCGATACCTAGCTACACCACAGGGGTACAGTGTAATGCTTCTCTTTTTTCATTCAGATTTGGCCATGTCTGGGAAGTAGGGACAGCACTGATCACTCAGAATTGAAGCTGATTAAGGAACTGGCGTTAATTTAGCTTGGCTTTGTCATTACATGTGGGGTATTGGATTTTACACATGTACTCAAACTGCTGAAGGAGTAAATTACGTTGAAAAATAAAAGGAGTTTATCTAGTGAACTCCTGTGCCACAACCTTCATTCTTCAAGATGTGTCCCCTATGGGTGCTCCACTTCAGGTGCTCATGTGCCTTTCGAGCCCTTGATTGGAGATTTTCAGCTAGCAGTGTCCGTTCAGCTCTTGCATGCGCCCTGTGCCTCCTTGTGCCGGACACCAAGGTTATATATGGGTGCACAGGCAAACTGCCCTTAGCTTTTTCTCAAGCACTTCAGCCTGAGACAGAGCCTTAGTGTATCTACATTGGCCATTCTGTTTTTCCTTAGTGTTAAGATACTTAGTTTAGCAGTTGGTAATGTTAGTGTGGTATAGTTAGTGTGGTATATAGTTACAGCAAACACAACCAGCATCGAGGAAATGTTATTGAGAGCACAAATTAGGTGGACTGGACATGTCATCAGAATGGAAGACCACCACCTCCCAAAACAGATCCTGTATGGGGAGCTGAGGCAGGGCAAAACAAAGAAGTGTCATCTGTATGAGCACTTCATAGATAACTTGAAATGCGGTCTGTTGTGGGCTGGGATCAATCTCAAAGAACTTGAGCAAACCGCTCAGAACAGGACTCACTGGTAGTCTCTGACAAGATTAGCATGCCATGGGTTTGAGCAGGATTGACCAAATTGTTTCCAGGCTGCATATGAAAGATGCCATAGAGCTGCATCGTCAAATATCATGGATACGGACTTCCTGCACCCTCAGTGCAGCCGACTCTGCATCAGGGTTTGGACTTCAGAGTCATATGCATGGCCATAGATGAGAATTGTAACAATATTGTCATCATTATCAGTGATGGACGACTACTATGGAGAGACTACTAGTAGTAGTAGTTATAGTTAGTTTCTGTAGATAGTGAGGGGGGATTGCTTTGTTCTCCTTACCCTTTTTTCCTTTGGGAGACTCATTTTTCCTGGCAGGACATGCCTGGCTCACCAGGTTTCAAATGCTGCCTCTCCTAATGAGGCTAGTCTTGTATACAATGGCCACTCTAAGTGTGTTCATTGCTTGGGGGAGTCCCATATCTCTCAGAAGTGCAACTTTTGCTTGACCTTTAAGTGTAGGCCAAGGAAGAACAGAGAGACCAAGCTAAGACTGTTCATGACAGAACACTCCTGCAGCCAGAACCAGGTCACAAGAAACCTCCCACCTCCAGAATGCCTGTCCTCAGACAGACCCAGAGCACGCTGGGGCAAGCTTCCCCCAAGGAAGGGAAGATTTTTGGAGGCTTCTGGGAAGGCTCCCAAAAAGAGAAGTGCAGACTCTCAATCCAAGGAGCCAGCACCAGAAAAGACCAAGTCTCCGGTCTCCGAGGGTACTGTTGAGGCCAAAGACTCTTCTATGGGGACTGGTGGGGCTGTGAAGCACTGGAGCTCCAAGGAAAGAAGACACTGCTCTGGCAGGATGCCAGTATCCTTTACCCACAAGGAGAGCAGTCATGGGGCACTGTCGAGTTCAGCCCAGCAGTCAGTACCAATGCATCCGACCCAGCCAGCAGTGCCATTACTCCCCTTAGTACAGCCATTGGTACTGATTCAGTTTGTCCAGCCATCAGTGCCAGCACATTTGGCATGACCCCCTTCTTCACCTGGAGTGTAATCATCATCAGTACCGTTGGCTTTGGTGACCATGGCCTGGGCTACTGCTTCAGTACTGGATCCCTTCTCAGTATCACAGGCATTCCAACATTCTAAGGACCTTATGTTATCTGATGGACCAGAGTCCCTGCTTCTTATGGGTACTAAGTGCCTTTCGGTACTGAGACACCAGTCTCTGGGCTACTGTCCTCTGGCACCATAGGAATCTCCACCATTTTCAGTGGTGCCCCCCGACCCCATGGGATGACATAAAAAAGAAAGAGGGAGACTTTCAATCAGTCTCCTCTGTCTTGGTCAGGGGTTCACCAACCTGCCCCTTCAGGAATTCCTTTTTGGCTAGTCCCAGGGAGGATTGTATTGGTCATCAACAGTGGTGGAACCAACCCTTTATTCCAGCTTCATTTCCTTATCCATGTGGTCAGATCTGATACATCAGTAGGTTCTACAGTATCATCTTCAGTTCTGGACTCTGTTTTGAAGTTCCCTCCTCCTTCTGGGGATACTGTCCAGAAATCACCTGAAGTGGAGCACCGATAGGGACACTACTCGAAGAAGAAGAGGAAGTTATTCAACTTGTGCAGTAACTACAGTCTTCAAGATGTGTGTCCCCTTGGGTGCTCCAGTACCTGCCCTCCTTCCCCTGTGCTTCACACTGTTCCTTGGGGGACAGTTGGGTAGAGAAGGACCTGAGGCCAGTTTGCCTGCACACACCTATATAGCCTTGGTGTCTGGCACAAGGAGGCATAGGCGAATGCACAGGCTAAACAGACACTGATAGCTGAAAATCTCTGATCAATGACTCAAGAGGCACCTGCACACCTGAAGTGGAGCACTTATAGAGGGAGACAGCTCAAGATTTTACAAGATGAGTAACTTTCTATTATATAAGACAAACCATACATCTACTCTTCTTTTCAGTCCTTGTATTCAGAAAGCAAGAATCCCTAGATTATCATCCTAATCTGGCGAATATAATCAAAATATAGGTATACAATCAAAAGTGCATTTGTAAATAGTGCATGCTGTATTTGCAGTATTCAAATTTTTTGCCTTTATTGGTGTTGGCAGCTGATTCCTGTATAAATTAAATCATTAGTAATTTTCAGTGTTTATATCATATTTATTTCAACAGGATTATGGATGTTCGAGATTTTATTATCCAGTCCCGTCCTGCATTTGCAGCATCTGACTTTGTTCTTGTGACTACATTTCCAAATAAAGAACTAACAGATGAAAGTCTGACACTACAAGAAGCAGATATACTTAACACTGTGATTCTTCAACAACTAAAGTAACCTTGCACCTGTCAGTCCAATATAGCTTTTGTGGATAGGTAATGTGCCAAACTGTCATACAAGGATGCTTCCAGTGGTGCGGAGGGAGGGAATCAAATCAGCATCTTCTTTCACTTGCACAGATCAGTTTTGTTTTTATTTCTGTTCTGTCTTCCAACGATAGCATATTTGAATCAGATTTTAGAGTGATTTCTCACCAAATGTTTTTACAGTTTTAAAACTAAGCTTGTATAAATGGGTATGTTCCAAAACTCAGCAAGAACTAATAAGCTACTTGAGAAACACAGATATCACTTTATTATTCAGATATTTTTAGGGGAGAAAAGGAGTTTTTTCAGGGAGTCAGTGTCTTTTTACACACTTGGTAAGTCTTGCACTAAGGAAATGTTTTATGCTGCATTGACAAACAGCCTTTTGAAAACTTAACCCAGTAGGCTGAGATATGTTTACCTCCCTTAGCACATAGATTTTCAAGTATTCTTTGTAAGTTGACATGTTTACGTGCCCTAATATGATTTTAAAATATTCTGTTTGTAGTGTTTTGTTGGTGCAGTATAATTACATAAAATAACCTATAAATATTTTTCCTGTAAATTATCCTATAACCGTCACTATGAATGGATCAGTAACAAAAGAAAAACAAATCTCAGCCTTTTCTGAATATATTTAATATTGTTCTCACTCATATTTAATATTTTTCTCACTTGTGCTCCAGGTGTAATTCTCATGTTGGAAAGAATTTACTTTAAATAGAAATGGTAGAGAGTAATAGCAACTAATGGACAAACAAAGCTCCATATTTTCCAAAGAATTGGCTTGATGATCACATTCAGACACACGTGCAAGTGAGACCTATGCAGATACATAATTCCATGCACAAGCAGTTATTTAGGTGTTCAGATAACATGTGTGCACAAACACAAGACTTGTTTATGTAGTCATTTGAATGCACAAAAGAAGATGTGCAGTTGTGCATGCAGTTTTGCACCTGGACTTTAGCTCTTCATATTTGATATTTTGTCTAAAAGTGTTAAATTTTCAAAGTAGTACAATGGGAATTTAGTTATGCAATTTTCTTTATTCTCACTGGCAGCTGCGTGATTAAACCATGACAATTCTTTGAAAATATATTCTTTTCAAAGAGTTTAATCCTTCATTCTGCTATGCAGATAGAAATAGCGTGAAATAGAAAATGGGGTCCTGTATTTATACAGCCACAGATATTATAAATCTGCATACCGTGAGTCAAAAGAGAGGATCAAATCTTAGATGAGGAGAATGGGCTGCCTCCCATGTGCCAGTATGTATAGAATATTGTCTTTAATATTATTTCCCAAAAACTTGAAAACTTATTTCACTATACTTCGCTCATCCTTGGTCAGTAGAATTTATTTTAAGTTCTTACCTCAGAGTAGGCATTTCCAACTATAAGTAATTTTCAATCATTTGCAACCATTTAGGAAGTCAAATGTTTTGTAAGACAAATATCTGCATGATTTAAACAATCACAAATACATTGTGTGTGCTAATCAATAAAGAAAACATTTTAAGTTAAAAATGTCCCAGACAACTTTTTCATATTCTCTTATTTTTTACGCTGTGACAAACGAGTTGTTTGTGTGTTTTGCATGGTGAGTGTTGTGTATTTGGGGTGAGGGAGGAAGGAAATATATGTTTAAAACAATATACTAGACCTAAATACTTGGTACATAAAATATAGATTTCCGAGTCAGAGTTCTGATGTGGATCTGAACCACTACAAAGTTTGGGCGTGTTTGGAATCAAGGATTAGCTTCACGTCCATACCTAATAAAATATAAGCAGTGCTCAGGTAATAACAAATTGAACAGTTTAATGCATAAGGAACTGTGGTTACATAAAAGAAATTGAACAACCCTGAAAAATGAGAATCTAAGACATCACTAACTACATGTTGTCACCCTTTCTTTATTTTAAATAGCCAGTGAACTTCTGATGTAAGAGCTTTGTAACATCTGGGTAAAAGTCTTTACTTTAAGATTAAAGCGCTCAGAGAAAATACAGCATGCATTTGTATTTATTAATATCTTTGGAGGTATTCAGGCAGCGTTTTTTAAACTTTTTGAGCTGAGCGCACCCCCCCCCCCACTTTGAGTTACAATTTGGGGTTGTGCCCCCCCAACCCAGGCAAAAATAGACCCAATACCTGCCACTCCCCCCTCAGGTTTTCAGGGTCGGGGAAGGTGCATGCAATGGTCTCTGGGGCCAGAGCCAGTGCTGGGTGTGGCCACAGCGGATGTGGCCCTGACCCACAGGCTGGATGGCCTGCTGAGGTAAGTCAAGGGGTAGAGATTGTACTCCCTCCCCATGCTCCACAGCACAAGGTAGGCATTGCCACTCACACCCTCCTCCCCAAATGTTCCTCCATGCCCCCCTGTGACAGAGTATACAGACCCTCTGAGGCCCCCTGCTGAAGGCCTCACAGCCCTGCCACACCCCACTGCAGAAAAGGGCCCAGAAACTGCCTAGAGTGTTTGTTTGGGACACAGCCAATCAGAGCCCAGCAAGTCAGTATAAGAGGAGCTGCAGGACTAGCGTAAGGCCAGTTCCTTGCTGGAGCTGGAGGAGCATGGATGGTGTGTGGCTGGCTGAGGGACCTGCAGGACCTTGGATGAGGCAGTGCTGCCAGAAGCTGATGAGAGCGAGGAGCTCCGAGAGGGTTGCTGGGACTCCATCGGGACAAGGCCCTGAGGTAAAGGTGAAGATGCCGCGGAGAAGTGGCCCAGGGAACTAGAGCAGCAGCACGACTAGTACCGCTCTATCCCAGAGCTGGGCAACTTGAGGGAGATGTTACAGAGAGCACTGAGATACACCCCTGTAGGACTTGTACCCCAGAAGGGATTTTGCTTTGCTTTCACAGACCAACTGTGTGAGACTGCTGGAGGGCTGAGTCACTGAAGACTCACCACAAACAGAGTGCAGGCACATGCACTTGGCCAAGGGGGCGTGTGTCCTGTTACACACCCCTTGGAGGGCCACGCGTCAGTTTAAAAACTTCTGTATTTGGGAATAACATCATCTCCCCCACCCTATGGGAGCTGTGTGCCATACCTGGAAGCCACAGAACCTTTACTAAACACCTGCATTTTCAAAAGCTTGTATGGGCATAAATAGCCATTTAGCCAGCTATCTCTGGATAACAGTTAGAGTTGGTTGGCCAGCACATTTACACTGCAGGTAGCTGCTCTTGACTAAGTTGTCTGGGTGCCCAGCAAGTTGAGTACTGTAATGATGGATGTTCAAGAATGGCCTGGGTAAGGGCTGCCAAGGCACTGGGTTTCATCCCATGTACCCTCTATCGAAATTGTATCTGAAGCATAACTAAGTAAAGGGGCACAGGTTAAGGTGTTCAAGCAGCTGTGTCTCACTGGCTGCTTTGCAGTATTGACACACTTAAAGCAGACAGTGCATGGAGTAGGGATCCACACAGACATGCAGCTGAGAGTAGCTATAAATACTATAGAGATAAGTGGTGGAGTCAGGCAGGGATCAGAATAAGTGGGGGAGGAGTGAAAATGGTGGGGAGCTCACATACTGGTGCTTTGGGGGTGGGTATAGAGAGGACAGCATCAGGGAGCAAGGTTGCATTGCAACACATCATTGTGCTTGGACTTCTGTATGCTAGGAGGTAAATAAAGGAAAGGAGTCTGACAAGGGGGAGAATAAGGTGGATAGGAGGAGATGCTTTTACCCCTAAAGCCAGGTCTAAGACCCTCTGAGGGTCTTCCTTGATCTCAGTGTGATATGGGTAGAGGCTCATCTTTCAGGCCACTGTGCATCTTAGATCTGAACCACAATATTCAACCACATCTCTCTGTGTTTTCTCTCTCTCTCTCCAAAGAGTTTATTGGAGCAGGACACTAATACTTAATCTGCTACAACAAGCATTTCCCAGTGAGGATATCTATTCTGGGTGTTTGGGCTTTCTTTTGGCCCTGCTTACACCTGTAGGGGGTGGGATCGTCTACCTGTGGACATTCAGGTAATGTGTGGGCACACTTGGAAATTTTACTGCTAAACATCTGTGAAGTCCCCTGCACACCACACCTTGATTCTCTTTACCCTGGCCCCTATCATGTGTGCAGCCCAGACACTGGCTAGCAGTGTGCTCAGCAACATCTAGTCATAGGTGCCAAGCTGCTAAGGAATCCAACCCCCTTTATTATTAGTCTCATACTTTTGCTCTGAAAGACATTTGGTCTCCCCTCAAGCATGCCTGCTATTCAGTGAACCTTGTGATCAGCAAGTAGAAACCATGCAGCTGTACAATAGGCCACTGTACATGCTCTTTATATGCAGTGTGACAAAGTTCTTCCTCTGCCTTGGTGGGTCCTGATTTGCTCATCTCAGAGGTTCACAGCAGCCCTCAGTTTGGCTGCTTCTGCTAGAGGCTTGAACCTGCCATTCACTCAGCTAACCTCATCACTGGCCAGCATGGGGGAAATAGAGAACAATCTTCAGTCTATCTGTTGCCCTACCTAGTGGATCAGGGACAGGCCAGATCCCTTTCCAAATTAGACCTTCCCTTCTGGTGTTGCTCACAGATCAAGTCAACTCCTGTGTCCGATGAGGAATTGGGGGGAACCCAGGCCCACCCTCTATACCAGGTTCCAGCCTAGGGCCCTGTGGATAGCCGCTGTCTACATCTGTATCAGCTGCATGACAGCTACAACTCCCTGGGCTACTTCCCACGGCCTCCCCCCAGCACCTTCTTTATCCTCACCGCAGGATCTTCCTCCTGAAGCCTGATCACACTTGTACTCCTCACTCCCCATGTGAGGTCCTTTTTAAACCAGGTTAAATTAGTCTGCCTGCCATAATTGATTCTAGTATGTTCTTAATTGGCTCCAGGTGTCTTAATTAGCTTGCCTGTCTTAATTGGTTCTAGCAGGTTCCTGATTTCTGTTCCCTGAGTGACCAGAACAGGGGCTGCACTAGAGAAAATTATTCATTCAGTGGTCAGTATATTTGCCTTCTATCAGACTCTTGTACCCCACTGGTCTGGGTCTGTCACAGCAGCTTACAAAGGGTGGGGACAGGAGGCAGCCAAGTGCAAGGATGTTACAGCAGCAGTTGTATAAATACAGGTGATGGGCAGAATGGGAGTTCTGTCAATGTAATTGCTTATTTAGCTCTTACTCATGAATCTAGGAAGCTGACGTATAAATACTTCAGTTAGCTGGAGCCACCACGATGTCCGATTTGC